CCGCAGGCTCAGGCAATCCACTCACCTCAGCCTCCCAAAGCGCTGGGATTACAGGCTGAGCCACCGAGCCTGGCTGTTTTCAATATTCTTAAGAGCTGGACGCAGTGGCTCATGCCTGTAATCTCATCCTTTTGGGTGGTAGAGGCGAGAGGACTGTCTAAGCCCAGGAGTTCAAGAACAGCCTGAGCAGCAAAGTAAGATCTCATCTCTACAATAAATAAGATTAGCTGGGTGTAGTGGCACACCTGTAGTCCCAGCTACTTGGAAAGCAGAGGAAGAAGGATTGCCTGAGCCCAGGAGGTTGAGGCTGCGGTGCCCGTGAGTGTGCCACTGCCCTCCAGCCTGGGAAAAAGTAAGACTTGGACTAAAAAAATAACAAAAAACAAAAAACTAAGATCATTAATTATATCTGGCATTCTTTTTCATACTCCTAGCACATCTCACTTCTCAATTTGGATGTTACATTTCCATGGAAATGTTCAATCTATATTTAGATTTTATAAAATTTGTTATTGAAAATTAAGGTTCACATGGTTGAGTTGTTTTAAATATACTTTAAAGTCTTCCAATGACTTTATTATTATTTTAACTTAATTAAAATTAAATAAACCTTCAACTCCAACTCCTCAGTCCCACTAGCCATATTTCTAGTGCCCGCCACACTGGACAGCTCTCCCATATAGCATGTTTAGCCCCTGATGGTTGGTTCACAGCTCTGGCTGCTCATCAGAACCCAGAATCCACAGAAATGGCGACTAAGACCAAAGCTCTGTAGTCCCCATCCCCAAAGAGGAGATAACTGATGTCACTGTGCCTTAGTCCATTTTCCATTTCTTATAACAGAATATCTTAAAGTGGGTAATTTATAAAGAAAAAAATTTTATTTCTTACAGTCTGGGGGCTGGGAAGTCCAAAGTGAAGGGTCTCACCTGATGAGGCCTTATTACTTATGGGAACTCTGCAGAGCCCCAGGGTGGTACAGGGCATCATCACATGGCAAGGGACCGAGTGAGCTAGCTCAGGTCTCATGTCCTCTTCTAGTAAAGTCAACAGTTCCCCTGCCATTATAGCCCATTAATCTAAGAATGGGTTAAGCCATTCATGAGGGCAGAGTCTTGTGATCCAATCAACTCTTAAAATCTTCACCTTCCAACACTGCCATCCTGGGGATTAAGTTTCCATACAGATTTCAGGTGGGACAGTCAAACCATAGCAGGCTGCCTCTTCAATAACTGCATAAGCTTCTGCCACAGCCACTTCTGTATACCTTGGGCCACTCTCAGATATCCATCCATTTTCCTAGAGGGGCAAGGCCATTGCCTGTGACCCTGTGACCTTTTGGCTTTGGGCCTGAAAAACAGGTTATGCCCTAATTCGCTTTAAATTTGTTTTTATTGTCTTTCATAGAAAATGTACACAAGTCTGTTCACACCAAAGAATATATAAAATATCTATATTGCTTGAAGATTAATAATAAATTTTATCATCTGAATGTTTGTGTCTCCCCTCCCCACCATTCATATGTTGAAACCTAATCACCAAAATGATATTAAGAGGTAGGGCTTCTGCTGATTAGGTTGTGAGGGAGAAGCCCCTTATAAAATAGCCCAAGGGAGCTCATTCACCCCTTCCACAGAGATAAGGAAACCAGCCCTCAGCAGACACCAGAGCTATTGGTCCCTTGATCTTAGAGTTCCCAGCCTCCAGAACGGGGAGATAGAAATTTCAGTTGCTTATAAGCCACCAAGCATCTGGTGTTTTGTTACAGCAGCCCAAACAGACAAAGACAGTAAATAGACACCCACATTCCCAACACCTGGTTAAGGTGAAATTTGTTTGGGCCCTTGTTCTCCCCCAACCCCTACCCCATCATTGCCCTATCTCTCCAGGAAGAAGCTGCCAACATGGGTTCTGTTTCTCATGCCGCCCCCCCCAGACTTGCACCTCCTGTGAATGTCTCCCTTAACCATACATCGTTTATTTAAAAGGCGTCTGCTGGATGCATTCTCCTGTGACTTGGCCCAGTTGTCAACAGTGTGAGCATCACCGACACTGACACAGGCAGTTGTCATTTATTTGTTTTCACTGCTGGGTACTGTGCTGTTGGGTCGATTGATCACACTTTGCCCAGTCTCCTTTTGGTGACATTCAGCTGACCGCAGTGTTCTTTTGTTACGATGGTGCTGCCATAAGCGTTCTTGTGCAACTGGCAGAAGTGCCTTTTGGGGGAATTCCTCGGAATGGAACTGCTGGGTAAAGGGTCAACCAACAATTAGTTCAGGTGATGCTGAAACTGGTTGTAGCAATTCGTCCTCCACCAGAAAGGCATGAGACCTGATTCGTTCTTTTCTTTCTTTTTTTTTTTTTGAGTTGGAGTCTCTCTGTCACCCAGACACTGGAGTGCAGTGGCATGCTCACAGCCACCATAGCCTCAACCAGCTGGTCTCAGACGATCCTTCCGCTTCAGCCTTCCAAGTAGCTGGAACTACAAGCATGTGCCACCATACCCAGCTAAAATCTTTTTTTTAATTTATTTATGGTAAAGGTGAGATCTCACCAAGTTGCCCAGGCTGATCTCGAAACCCTGGGCTCAGGCAATCCTCTCACCTCTGCCTGCCAAAGCGTTAGAGTTACAGGCACAAGCCACCCTGCCCAGCTCTTTTTTTTTTTTTTTTTTTTTTAATAGACAGATGGAGTCTTGCTGTGTTGCCCAGGCTGGTCTCAAACTCCTGGCCTCAAGCAGTCCTCCTGCCTCAGCTTCCCAAAGTGCTGGGATTATAGGGGTGAATCATCACGGTACCTGGCTCTGATTCACTCTTCAAGTGCTGTGGCTTGACAGTACCCAGGGTGATGAGGGGACACCTGGGAGTGAAGGTGGGCCTCCCTGCTGGCCACCAAGACCTGGCTTCACAAGGGGGTGGGCGATAATTGGGTCTTTTGGTTTCTGGCCCTGAACCTGAGACATTAGGCCCAGAATCTTTCTAGTATTTCCTCAAATGCATTCCATGAGCCAGCCCTATGTGAGCACACAAATCTGAAGACTCTGGCTAGGCAAGCTTGTATAGTCTAAGGGCCCCCAGGAGATCAGGAATTAGAAGCCGGGGGGGAGGGGGGAGACTGGGTGGCTTAAGGGGGAGCATTCATGATACGACTCTCACCACCATGAATCCCATCGGCCTCCCCTTGGGCAGGCTAGAGTTTGCCTCTCTGACCTCCTGGGTCATGTTTTTATGGCATGTTTCAAAACAGAAATGTATCCTCAGGCTCTGTATTTGGGGTATTTCCGTTCTCTTGTTTAATCCTCACGGTTTTGAAGTTTTTTGCAAGGAGGGTGTCTCTGGGGATGACGGCTGGCCTCCCTGCTGGCCACCTCGGTCCCTTCATAGGAGGAACCTGAGGTTCCAGAAGGCTTAGCACTTGCCCTAGGAATATTGGCAAAAACAGGTGATATACAAGATGAAGAGTATTTGGCAATGGTTCTTTTTTATGATTAAAAACAGCTGAATAGAAACTTCTACTTTGAGCCAGGTACAGTAGCTCATGCCTGGGCCCAGCAAGCCGAGGATGCAGTGACTGTGAGTGTGCCACTGCACTCCAGCCTGGGCAACAGAGTGAGACTCCGACTCAAAAAAAAAAAAAAAAAAAAAAACTTCTACTTCTGGCTGTGAATGAGTAACTTGCATTTGGCCAAACCTCCCACCAAGAACAACAATCAAAGCTCTGTAAAATCTAAAAAAAAAAAAAAAAATCAGAAAAAAACAGCTGTGTGAAGGTGTCAGCAACTAAGGCAGCTAAGATTTGAGGGACCAGGATTCTGCAGAGAAGGAAAATCCTCCCAAGTGAGCCCAGTATTCTCAAACATTTTTCCCTGAATGTTTTGAACCCTGTTCTGATTCCCAGGTATGTGCTTTTTTTTTCTTTTTGAGTTGGAGTCTCACTCTCACCCAAGTTGGAGTGCAGTGGCACACTTACTGCTACTGCAGCCTCGACCTGCTGGGCTCAGGTGATCCTTCCACCTCAGCCTTCCAAGTAGCTGGAACTATAGGTACATGCCACCACACCCGGCTAATTTTTTGATTTATTGTAGAGTTGGGGTCTTGCCATGTTGCCCAGGCTGGTCTTGAGCCCCTGAGCTCAGGCAGTCCTCTTGCCTCTGCCACCCAAAGTGCTAGGACTATAGGCGTGAGCCACCATGCCTGACTTTATTTTTTTATTGGTGGTATGAATTCTGGGGCCACATAAGTTGAGTTCAGTCCCAGCACTGCCACTCGGTATCTTTGTAGCTTTGTAACTTTGGGCAAGTTATCCTTTGATGCCTCGGTTTCCTTACCTGTATAATACAACCCATCCTCATTATTTAAGATTCTGTACCTGTGAGTTTGCCCAGATGCTAAAATTTGCCTCAGGACCAGTACACCTGGCACATTTGTGGCCATTTCGCAGACATGTGCAGAGCAGCAAAAACGATGAGACTCCACGCACATGTTCCCAGCAAAGGTCAGACCAGGCGTCGCTCGGCATCCTTGTTCCAGCCCTTGTGGCATAAACAAGTGTCCTTTTCACGGTCTGTTTAGTGACACATTTTTCACATTTTCATGCTTTTTGTTGTTAATTCCGTTGTTTAAAATGGTCCCAAACTTAGTGGTAGGATCAGCATAAGGAAGTTTACAGGGAAAATCCGTGTGTCAGAGAAGCTTCGTGCAGGCAGGAGTGATATAACCGTTGTTCTGAGATCAGTGTTAACGGGTCAACAAAAAAGGATTTTGTTTTTGTCTTTTAAGAAGGTGTTTAATTTATATCACCCTCTGACCATGGCTCCCTACCCTAGGTGTTCTTACAACCTCTGCCACCTGTACCTGAGCTGGGAGTCACAGCCTTTATTTATTTATTCATTCATTCATTCATTTTGAGTCAGGGTCTCACTGTGTCACCCAGGCTGGAGTTGATGATCATGGCTCACTGCAACCTCGACCTCCTAGGCTCAAGTGATTCTTCCACCTCGGCTTCCTGAGTAGCTGGGTCTACAGGCATGTACCACCAGGCCTGACTAATTTTTTTTTTTTTTTTTTTTGTAGAGACAAGGTCTCCTATGTTGCCCAGGCTGATCTTAAACTTCTGGGCTCAAGCAGTCCTCCCACCTTGGCCTCTCAAAGTGCTGGGATTCAAGCATGAGCCACCACACCCAGCCAGATACACGTTAAATAAGGAGTCTCCCATCAGAAATACACATAAGACGAGGTTATCTATTGACTGATAGGTGGAAATGTGACCAGAGGCCAACAGGACCCTAGCCTTATATTTCTCCTAAAATAATTTGCTCGTTGAATGTTTGTGGCAACTTTTTATAGAACACAGCTATGGAGAATGACTGCGGTAAGAGTACTTCCCTCACAGGATTGTAATAAGGACTAAATGAGTCCATTTAATAAAAGGCTTAGAGCAGCACCAAGCAGCTAGAGAACACTCTGGACTGTGTGATTGCTGTGATGGTGGTTACCATGGCTACCCTCTCCCTTCTCCTTCAGAGCTGTGCATTTCTTTTTTCTTTTTCTTTTTTTTTTTTTGAGTCAGAGTCTCACTTTTGTCCCCCAGCCTGGAGTGCTGTGGCACACTCATGGCCACCCCAGCATCAACCCACTGGGCTCCAGCGATTCTCCCGCCTCAGCCTTCCAAGTAGCCGGAACTACAGGCATGTGCTACCATGCCCGGCTAATTTTTGATTTATTGTAGAGAGGAGGTCTCACTAAGTTGCCTGGGCCGGTCTCAAACCCATGGGCTCAGGCAATCCACTCACCTCAGCCTCCCAAAGTGCTGGGATTATAGGCTGAGCCACCGAGCCAGAGCTGTGCATTTCTAAGCACCCTGTCTGTACTCTGCCCCACGTTTCTCCTATCTGCTCACCTACCAGCCCTGTGCCCTCTGCCTTCTGGGCTTTCCAAGGACACTGCTAGCTCAAGAGCAATAACTAATGATCTCTGACCCCCACTCTCCATGGCAACCAGAGTGACCTTTGGAGAATGAATTTTTTTTTTTTTTTGAGTCTGAGTCTCCAGGCTGTCGCCCAGGCTGGAGTGCTATGGCCTGACTGTGGCTCACCACAGCCTCAAACTCCTGGGCTCAGGTGATCCTCCTGTCTTAACCTCCCAAGTAGCTGGGATTGCAGGCGCATGCCAACACACCTGGCTAATTTTTTGATATTTTGTAGAAATGAGGTCTTGCTATGTTACCCAGGCTGGTCTTGAACTCCTAGGCTCAAGCAATCCTCCTGTCTCGGCCTCCCAAAGTGTTTAGATTTCAGTCATGAACCACCAGGCCCAGCCTGGAGAATGTCAGTCTTATTACCAACCTCCTAAAGCCCTTCACTGCCCTCTCAGGATGAAGTCCAGCTGAATTCCTTCACAAGGTCCTGAAGCCACCTCCACCTCACTCCATCACCTCCACCGTCCCCTGCCCTGCCTGCTGGCTCCACTCCAGCTGCATGCCTTCTCTCTTGCTCGTTCTTGTCTGGTTATTTCATCCATCCCTCCAGCTGGTCAGAGCTGGCGGTCATCCACTGAGGCCCCAACACCTGGATGCCCAGCAGTTAGGGATGGAAAAAAAAAAAAGCAACAGGGCACATTGTCTCCTGCCAATCAAGCTAATAAGACCTGTCAGACTGCAGCCGGCAGTCAGAGCCAATCTTCTGGACTTCATGGGACTTGTGCCTCTTGCTATTTTCTGTTGTTTCTCTTGGTGACATGCTAGGAGGCTTGCAGATGCTTCCTTGCCTCGCACTGAACACCCCTTAACCTGAAGAGCCTGTGGTAGCACTGCCCAATAGAACTTCCAGCCGTGATGAAAATGCTCTGAGTCGCTGCCACTAGCCACACGTGGCCACAGGACACTTGAAACTTGGACGGCACAGCTGAGAAACTGCCTTTATCATATGTTAGCTTAATATATTTAAATTTCAGCAGCTACATATGGCTCGTGGCTACCCTCTTAGACAACACAGGCTTAGAGACAGGGAAAAGTTTTTGTAATTTATTAAAAGAAGGTGAAAAAAATTCCTAAGAAATATTCCAGAAAAACTTTTACATGGTCTACTCTTGAATATAGAGGTGGCACTATATAAATCATGCATTAATGGATAACAAGGCAAAAATGGTAATATTCTTAACTTTGTCTTTTAGAGTTTGAACCTCCACTGCCTCAACCAGATTCTGAATGTCAAAAAGCAAAGTGTATCTGCAATAAACTTGAGGAAATCGGGAACTTTGGGTGACCCAGGGTAAGATAAAACACCTTCCACATCAGAGATCGCTCCCTTCCTCCCCCTCCCCTCGCCTCCTCTCCCACACAGAACCTGTTTTCTCCCTGAGCAGCAGCAGTTCTCATATACATGCTTCCATATCACTGATTATCTACTCTGTTATTTTTAATTGTATTAAATTTTATGGATATACCATAATTTAATCCATCCCCTTCTGTTGGACATTTAGGTTGTTTCTGGAGTTGACATGATTTTCTTCACTATCCTAGTAGGTAGGGTAGGCTATGCTGCTGTAACAAATAGACCCAAACATGTCATGGTTCAAACTAATAATGTTTGTTCCTCTCTGGGCAGTCCAGTCCAGGCCATGAAATGAATCAGAGAGACAGGATCCTTCCAGCTGCCAGTTTGGTTCTCATCTGTCAGTGCCTTGCTGTCCTCTGCATTGGTGGGTCACCTTGTCCAATTTCCATTTGGCAGAAAGGATTGGAAGGGCACTTGTCCCCCATTCACCTTCCAGTGGGAAGAACTTAGCTGCATGGCACTGGCTCACTGCAAAGGAGGCTGGGAAATATAGTCTAGCTCCGGAGGAAGCAGGCAATGGATTTCCTATGGAAAGCTATCAGCCACCGCTGCAGTCCACCTGCTGCCAATCAATATCTGCACAGACCCTCCATCCACACACAGGTGCATTTACTGCCAGCCCCAGGGAGCTAACCAAGGCCCATATGGTCACTGCATCCACCTCAAAGTCCAGTATTTCCAGATGAGAAGCTGTCCTCTCTCAGGTTTGGGGATTGTCTTTCCTGACCTGGAAATGGACACATAAACACATACACACAGTGATGGAGAGGGGCAACTGCAACTGTAACTCCCGTTCAGAAAAGAGACACGACCCTGGCCCCTGGCAGCAATGGACTCCAGCTGGGCAGCCTCTACCTTGGCAGAACATTCCTCCATGAATCCCTGGTGCGGCCTTCTTGAAGCGTCCTCCTTGTCCCTTATTGTCCTTGGCTGCAGAAGAGGCAGTCAATGGGAAGTGTGCCCTCCTTGGGGGCAAGCAGCCTTCATAACCCATGGCTTGCTAATAATGATTTGGGGTTCCAACAGCTGTTTTAAGGCTCCAATAGAATGTTTGAGGTTTTAGACCAGACACATTTTTCTTTTTTTAGAGACAGGTTCTTGCTTTGTCACCCAGGCTGGAGTGAAGTGGCACAATTGTATCTCACTGCAGCTACAAATTCCTGGGCTCAAGTGATCCTTCTGACTCAGCCTCCCAAGTAACTGGAACTACAGATGCATGCCACCACCCCTGGCTAATTTTTTAATGTTCTGTAGAGACAGAGGTCTTGCTATGTTGCTTAGGCTGGTCTTGAACTCCTGGGCTCAAGCAGTCCTCCCACCTCAGCCTGCCGAAGTGCTGGGATCATAAGCATGAGCCACTGCACCTGGACTCCTCTTTCTTTGATAATAGGATTCTCCCAAAAACCTAGTAGACTTCTAATATATTTACCTTCAGTGAGTCCCACTTGCCAGTAACCACATCCAAGCTTCTTCCCTGGATGGGAGCCTCAGGCTACCTTATTTCTTTGCAGGCCCCTATGCCAGCTTTCTCAATCTAAGGATGGGTACCTTGAGGTCACATAAAACAATAACACTGGAGAGCAGGAATACCCTTGACTTGGTTTTTGGATTTTTTTGTTTATTTGTTTTTTGGTCAGGTCTCACTCTGTTGCCCAGGCTGGAGTGCAGTGGCACATTCACCGCTTACTGCAGCCTCAACCTCCTGGGCTCAGGCGATCCTTCTGCTTCATCCTCCCCAAGTAGCTGGGACTACAAGCATGCACTACGATGTCCAGCTCATTTTTTTGATTTTTTGTTTTTTGTAGAAACGAGGTCTCCCTATGTTGCCCAGGCTGGTCTCGAACTCCTGGACTCTGGCAATCCTCTCACTTCAGCTTCCCGTAGTGCTAGGATTACAAGTATGAGCCACTGCACCTGGCCTCGACTTGTTTTTTAGAACAGAATTGGTTCCCTTTTTGGCTTAATGGAAGGCCTTTGTTGTTCAAAGCCTTAGATTCTCCCTGTGACGTTTCCATCTCTGTGCAGTCTTTCATTGAGAAATGCCCCATTTCATGCTGTCTGCTTACACACATGCTCGTTCTCTCTTGGCTCACCATGTCCATGTCACACCTGCTAAAAGCAACTAGAAACCACCCAAACACAGGAACATTCTACCTGTCCTCGGAGCTGTGTGCTCGGTAGGCATGTTTAACCTTCTAGGTGACCTTCAAGCCTTACAGAGGGCTTTGCATGCTTGGAAGTCCTGAAGAACCGTGGGAGCTTCCCAGCTTCCTCTATCCATTCCTTGACCCCTGCCACAAAGTCTCCAAGGGGCGCTGCATGCCGCATGTTTTGGGGTTTTGCTTTGGTAACCCATTTCCAGCTCCTGCTTCCAGCACTTCTCCCCCTCAGACTCTGGTGCTACCCCCTTACCCCTTCAGCTGTCCTGCGAGGTTGGGGAGGGCCCTTGTAGGATGCCCCAGGTCCGGTTCCCTTCCACAGGGTCTAATGCTGGCCTCTGGGAAGCACACCTTCATCCTGCCACATGTAGGAGGATGGCCTGCTTCTGCCGGGGCCCAACTCTCTGCTGCCAGGCAGCACCTGCTCAGCTCTTGACCTTGGACTTTATACCTGAGTCAGGTGTGTCTTTGTGTTCCCCAGGTTATTCAGGACACACATTCACAGACCTCTCCTACCCGTTCTCTCCAGCTCACTCTCAAACATGCCTTACCAGGCTAATCACTCCCTTTAAAGAGCAGCTCTTCACCAACCTGCCCTGAAGACTCCCCTTCATTGTGCCCTCGAAGTGGGTGAGGGCTGGATGGGGGAGGGGCCAAAAAGAAAATCTTGCATTAATTGTCTAGCTGCCACTGGTGTCTTACTTTAGACCCCTTGGAAACTCTCAGATAATGGAGCTGTGTGGTATCCATCTTATAATCTACAGATACATCCTCACGGGGGCACGCCAGCTCATGCCATAAAATTCACCATTTTAAAATATACAATTCAAGGGTTTTTAATATATTCACAAGGTTGTGCCACTACCATCACTGTCTAATTCCAGAACATTTTTATGACTCCAAAAAGAAATCTTGTACCCACTGGCAGTCACTAATCTACTTTCTGTCTCTGTGGTCTATTTTTTTAAATAGAAAGAAAAGCAGGGCTAGGTCCGATGGCTCACACCTGTAATCCCAGCATTTTGGGAAGCCAAGGATGGAGAATCGCTTGAGCATGGGAGTTTCAGGCGAGTCTGGGCAACATAGTGAGATCATACCACTTCAGCCTGGGCAACAGAAAAAGAAAAGAAAAGAATAGTATGTATAAGAAAATGTATCATAAGTATACAGCTTGATAAATTTTCAAAAACAACATTGTATAACTAGCAACCAGCTGAAGAAACAAAATGTTACCAGCCTGCAAAGAAGCAAGCTTTCTACTCACTTCTAGTCATGACCCCTTCCCTCGCTTCCTTCTAGCCGTGAACCCCCACAGAGTAACTGCGATTCTGATTTCCAGTGGCAGAGATTTGTTTTGTCTGTGTATGTGTTTTTCACTTTATATAATTTTGTTAATTAATATAATTTGATTATGTTATGATAATTTTTTAAAATTATTATTATTACTATTTTTTAGAGACAAGTTCTCTCTATGGTGTCCTGGCTGGTCTTTTTTGAGTTGGAGTCTCACTCTGTCACCCAGGCTGGAGTGCAGTGGCATGCTTACAGCCACTGCAGCCTCTACCTGCTGGGCTCAGATAATCCTTTTGCCTCAGCCTTCCAAGTAACTGGAACACAGGCATGCGCCACCACTCCTGGCTAATTTTATTTTATTTTTTTGAGATAGAGTCTCACTCTGTCGCCCAGGCTGGAGTGCAATGGCACGCTCACAGCCACTGCAGCCTCAACCTGCTGGGATTAGGCGATCTTTCCATCTCAGCCTTCCAAGTGGCTAGATACAGGCGTGAGCCACGATGCCCAGCTAATTTTTTTATTTATTGTAGACATGTGGTCTCACCGAGTTGCCCAGGCTGGTCTTGAACCCCTGGACTCAGGCGATCCTCTCGTCTTGGCCTCCCAAAGTGCTGGGATTACAGGCTTGAGCTGGCCCTAATTTTTTTTTTTTTTTTTTTTATTGTAGAGACTAGGTCTCACCATGTTGCTCAGGCTGGTCTCAAACCCCTGAGTTCAGGCAATCCTCTTGCCTCCCCCTCCCAAAGTGCTGGGATTACAGGTGTGAGCCACCGTGCCCAGTCTATAATTATTTTTAATTTTACTTTATATCAACTGTATTAGTAAGTATAAACACAGAATTGCCTATGACTATAAGAACAATATGGGTGAATCACAAACATTATTGTGATAGAAAGAAGTTTCTGTTTTGCTGTGTAGTATTCCACTGTGTGAATATACCACAATTTGTTTGTCTACTGTATTACCCATGGGTACTCAGGCAGTTTCTAGTTTGGGGTTAAAGGACACTTCTGCTAGGAATATTCTAGTATACTACTTGTCTTTTGGTGAACCTGGGCATACCTTTCTGTTGGGTATACCCTCAAGAGTGTAGTTTGATGGGTCATAGTGTGTGAATGTGTTTTATAGATACCGCCCAACAGTCTTCCAAAATGATTTTCCAATTTACTGGCCAATCAGCAATATCTAAAGGCTCTGACTGCTTTCCTTCCTGGGCAACTCTTGATGTTATCTCTTTAATTTTTATCATTCTGGTGGCATCGCACTGTGATTTTTAAATTTGCATTTTCCTGAAGATTAACGAAGTTGAGCATCTTTTCATATGTTCATTGGCTGTATGGATATCTTACTTTTGATCAAATCTGTTCAAATATTTTGCCCATTTTTCTACTGTTTTCCTTTTCTTATTGATTTGTAGGCATTCTTTACATATTTTGGATACGTCCTTTATCAAATATATGTAATACAAATATTTTTCTCCCATTTTGTGGTTTGCCCAACATAAATGCTAATTTTTTTTTTTTTTTTTGAGTTGGAGTCTCACTCTGTCGCCCAGACTGGAGTTCAGTGGCCACTCCCAGCCACTGCAGCCTTGAGCTGCTGGGCTCCAGCGATTCTTCCGCCTCAGCCTTCCAAGTAGCTGGAACTACAGGCGCACGCTACCACACCCGGCTATTTTTTGATTTATTGTAGAAATGAGGTCTCACCAAGTTACCCAGGCGGGTCTTAAACCCGAGGGCTCAGGCAATCCACTCACCTCAGCCTCCCAACGTGCGGGATTACAGGCTGAGCCACCGAGCCCAGAAAATGTTAATATTTTAAGCAATGGAGGCCGGGTGTAGTGGTTTACACCTGTAATTCCAGCGCTTTGAGGGGCAGAGGCAAGAGGATTGCCTGAGCCCAGGGGTTTGAGACCGACCTGGGCAACTTGGCGAGACCTTGCTTCTATAATAAAATTTTAAAATGAGCCAGGTGTGGTGGTGTGCATCTGTATTCCCAGCTACTTGGAAAGCTGAGGTGGAAGAATCGCCAGAGCCCAGGAAGTCGAGGCTATGGTAGTCATGATTGTGCCACTGCACTCCAGCCTAGGTGACAGAGTGAGACACCATCTCAAAATAAGTAAATAAAAATGTAAAGTCAAATTAATTGAAAAACTTGTTAAGTTTGATATTAATAACAAAATGGTTTGGTAATCGTATGTTTTGGGTTGCTTTGTTTTCCCCTGCAGCTCTCTAGATGAGACCACCTACGAAAGACTAGCAGAGGAGACGCTAGATGCCTTAGCAGAGTTTTTTGAAGACCTCGCAGACAAGCCTTACACATTTGAGGACTACGATGTCGCCTTTGGGGTACCTCTTGGCTTATTTTCATGTTTCCTCTCTAAGAATTTTAGCTCATGAAAATGAAGAAGACCAGGCTCGGTGCCTCAACCTATAATCCCAGCACTTTGGGAGACCGAGGCGAGTGGATTGCCTGAGCCTTGCAGGTTCGAGATCCACCCAGGAAACTTGGCGAGACCTTGTCTCTACAATAAATCAAAAATTAGCCGGGCGCGCTAGCGTGCACCTGTAGTTCTAACTACTTGGAAGGCTAAGGCGGAAGGATCGCCAGAGCCCAGCAGGTTGAGGCTGCTGTGGCCAGGAGTGTGCCACTGCACTCCGATCTGGGCGACAAAGTGAGACTCCAACTCAAAAAACAAAAAAGAAAAGAAAATGAAGAATTCAGTCAGGTGCAGTTGCTCATATCTATAATCCCAGCACTTTGGGAGGCCGAGGCGAGAGGACTGCCTGAGCTCAGGGGTTCAGCACCAGCCTGAGCAACCTGACGAGATCTCGTCTCTACAATAAATCATAAAAGTAGCCAGGCATGGTGGTGCATGCCTGTAGTTGCATCTACTTGGAAGACTGAGGCAGAAGGATCGCCTGAGCCCAGCAGGTCGAGGCTGCAGTGGCCGTGAGTGTGCCACTGCTCTCCAGCCTGGGTGACAAAGTGAGAC